TTGCACCTGCCTGCAAGGAAGCAGCTCATAGCACGGAATTGGATTGATAACCATGCCAGCAGAACATGCAGTCTCCTGCACAGTTTGCCGTCGAAGACAAATGAAGGCTAACAGATATCCCATAATGGAATTATCACTCCTCTAGGCTCTCAATCGAGATTGCTGTTTAGGTTCGAATGCGATGCTACATTCAGGTCCAAGACATGCTGGCCCTTGGGCTCGCCAATGGGAACCACCATGTGCACAAAAACAGCAGTGGCACGACCCACCTGCCAAACTCAAATCCAACTACCTACCTACAGGCACTGATGCGGACTTGACTTACGTCTTAGCCCTCGGACTGTTCTAAGCGTTAAGCGAGAGGGCAGGCGTCCAATCAAGTGGGAACACGCCAAAATTCCTGACCTCACGGAAGAGCCCGTTCAGCGGAAAGAAAAAAGATTGAGATCGAAGAAATATGTGACTTGTTGACCTTAATTCGCAAATGTTTAGGGGTGCCGAGCATCTGGCGATAAAAGTCCGCCCTTTATTACGATCGTTGTCACTTTCTTCGTCTCTCATTCTTTGCATTTCCGAGGTATGGCATCAAGCATAACCTTGCCGAGCATGCCAAACTGCGCCCCTGACCGTTCTCTTGGCACTAGCTGCTGCCTGGCTAGTAGCAGCCAGGGACAAAGTGGAACGAAAAATGACATTGCTGTAATATGGAGCTGTACCTCCAGCCTATCTGCCTCCTCAAGCAAGAAGGAGCGCGTGCTAACTACCCATCTCGCCAACCTGGCTGCCCTCGTACTCGTTCTGCCTATCCTCCTGGGGAGAGTAACGCGCAAATGGGCCCCAGTCAACTTCCATAACATTCAGTATCCATATAATCAAACAACTCGGTAGACAATACAGAATTATCCCGGCACCGGCCCTGACCTCTACAACCGAGAACAGTACCTGGGAGGATCTGAGCGATGTTCTCCCACACGATACTTGAGGGTACAAGCACTGTTCCCACAACTACATCGAGAGCCGAGATAACGCCAAAGAGCAGAGCGAGAGTGTCCGATAATACCGCTGAGTATCCCAGCCCAAATTCCTGCCACAGGGAACGATACCTGGGAGGATAAGCGCTGTTCCCGCAACTATACTGTTACCAGTAAGTCAAAGCAAGGTCTAACCTTAACTTATTACTAATATTACGCAGATTTGATAGTAAGCAGCGACTTTCGCAAAGCCCGCAATTTCGGAACTACTGAGGTGGAGGATACGCTTTGAAAATCGATCGCCGGCACAGAAATCCTGAGAAAGACTTTCGCAGAACCCGCAACCTTGGACCTATCGAGTAACTTAAAGCTGGGAGAAGCAACCTCGTGCTTTATCGTCGAAAACGCAGATATTTTGAAACGAACTTTCGCAGAGCCCGCAAATTCGGAACTATTGGGGGACTTAAAGCCAGGAATATTACTCCCATACTTAATCTTCGGCAACCTTGAGAGAGAATCCCGCAATCCATATGTTAAAAATATCAGGATGGAAGGTTGCTAGACATTTAAGTCAAGTGGGTAGGCACACGGTGCAAAACAGAATACAAGATCGGATGCAGGCGTCTAGACATAGGTTATGTGCTGGTTTCCTTCCCACTGCCATTGGGAGCCGTGGCACTGACGAATGCCCGGCCAGAAGCGCCAGCAACAGCTGTTGTCTGTGGAGCTGAAGGCAAGGAGGAGGATTAGGGGCAGTAAAAGCAGCTGGACCAGCAGATCAGATCAAGCGACATCAGCCACAAGATCAGCAACAGGAACAGAACAAGTACACCTTCCCCTTACATCCCAAGCTCTGGCATCGATGCTTTACATCCAAAGCTTTGGCATCGGTCATTCAACATACCAGTTCCCACAAGATGGCAATCATCGACACCCTTCCAGCAGTCAATATGTCCGTACGATCAGCAACAGGAACAGAACAAGTACACCTTCCCCTTACATCCCAAGCTTTGGCATCGGTCATTCAATATACCAGTTCCCACAAGATGGCAATCATCGACACCCTTCCAGCAGTTAACGTGTCCGTACGATTAGACACCTCTTTCAAAAGTGCAGCAGAATACCCTAACCCCTATCCTTACCGTCAAGAACGATACCTAGGAGAATTTCAGCGCTGTTCCCAGGCAAGAGATTTTACCAGAGCAAAGACTTCAGATAAGGACAGTAATACTTCACTTTCTCCTATAGAAAGTACCTAAACGCAGACCGCTTCGGTCTAGTCAAGAGCAGATTCAAGTTTCAGTCAATCGTTGCTGGTAAGCTTCGACCTTGCCAAGAAATAGCTCCAAATCACCTAATATTGCGTGCAGTTGATAACGAACCTACCGAAAGGCTGACAAGCAGAACAAGGTCGATAGCAACAAACAGAACGAGCGCAATGTCATAATTATAACTATGGGTGAAAAGTGCCTTCCTTGTCTGTGAGTTTCCCATTTATTAAAGTGGTGGAACGAGAGGTTAATCGGTAAGGTGAGGTCAATAGTCGTACGGCTGTCTTCGGCTCAACCCTTTTCGACTTCCGCTTGGTGTGTTCTGTCAAGAGGTCAGAAATCACTGTGTATCCTAGCCTGATGATTAGACTTCCGCGCTCCCTGTATTCGCCTCATTCAATCCTCCTTAGGGACGGGGACGGCGATAGGGGATGGGGTGAAGTTATCGCAGACTTCGTCGTCTTCGTGGGTTGCAAAGCTTTCTCGCCCGACTCACAGACCCGAATGACTATCTCAGCACCTCCACCGACTGGAAGGTCGACAGGCCCACGGTTTGCGTGCGTAATGGCAACTGGCTTCATACAGGACCGAATGATTTTTACCGACGGCGGCCTCGGTTTAGCTACTGTCGATGGGGTATGTCCGAAAATTTAATCCTTTGGAGCTGAACGCCGGAATCTGATTGTTGAGATATTGTTCCGAAGCCCCGAACATCTGTAAAACAACATTACTGTCAGCAAACTTTGTCTGTAAACTGTGTGAACACGCACGTTGCTTGTTGATTTGAAAAGTACGAAGCACTCACGGGTACCATGGCCCTTGAGATTCTTCTCGGCAATCTCGAAGTTACCATCCTGTTCATCGTTGCGGTGACCGAAACTGATGTACCTCGAAGGCCTCCACGGGCGTGTATGGTTTGGGCGTCCGGGATGATTCGCTGGAGCTTCTACAAGAACAGTGAGTTTGGTGTGGAGTTTGTATCAGCAAACGCCTTCTACAGGGAGATTTGGGGGATGTGTTCACATCAGTGTGGCCGCGTCCAGGTAGGGCAAGTTCTATGCCAGAGGACCTGTCCATAGAGGGCCCTTTCGAATCACAGCATACGGGTCAATCGAAAAAGAGCCATTGCCCTGGTTATAGCATCCTTCGCACCGTGATGAGCGGATGTATGCTTCGTCACCAGAAGATGAACAAGGGTTCAGACACGAAGACGGGGCCAAAGGCCCTCTCTCTTTTTGAGAGACTTAAAAACTACCAAAAAAAAAACCCCGCGCAAGGGAAAAAAAAAATCTACTCCTGCATGTTGTTGTCCTCCTGCTGCTGGCCCTCTTGGCCCTGCTGCTGCTGCTGCTGCTGACCCTGCTGCTGCTGCTGCTGCTGGCCCTGCTGCTGCTGCTGCTGCTGCCGCTGCTGCACCTGCAGCATCATCTGCTGCAGCTCCTGCTGCTGCTGCTGCTGCTGCTGCTGCCGCTGCTGAATCAGCAGCATCATCTGCTGCAGCTCCTGCTGCTCCTGCCCCTGCTGCCCCTGCCCCTGCTGTTGCTGTTGCTGTTGCTGTTGCTGTTGCTGTTGCTGTTGCTGTTGCTGTTGCTGGTGCTGTTGCTGAGGCTGCTGCTGCTGCTGGCCCCTGTTCTGGCCGGGCAGCACCCACTGCCCTGGGGGCAGCGGGGAGGGGATGGGGGCGCGGGGGGGAGGGGGACCCAGTCCCGCCTCCTGGGCGAGGTTGCGGCCCTAGAGAAGCAACTGTGTTAGTAAAGGTCTTGTGAGTAGCTACACTAGGAAAGACATACTCGCTGCTCAAGGCGCTGGTTCTCCTCCCAAAGGAGGCGGGGGCGGAGGTCCTCGAGGACGGCCATGGCCCTCTCATGAAATCTCCACTGATTTCTCCACTATTTATATATTAGGTAATGTTACGTTAAAATAAGACTGGCAAGCACTTACCTCGACCATATTGCGGGGGGTGGGGGGGGCAGTGGCGCGGTTGCGGCCGCCACCACCACCACCACCACCACCCCCGTTCCGCTGCTGGCCCCGGGGCATTGTGTGTGTGTGTGTGGGGTGGGGGGGGGGGGGGGGGGGGGGGGGGGGGGCGAGCTGGATGTCCTTGGACTGGATGGTGACACGCTTGGCGTGGATGGCGCAGAGGTTGGTGTCCTCGAAGAGGGAGACGAGGTACGACTCGACAGACTCCTGGAGGGCGCTGATGGCGGACGACTGGAAGCGGAGGTCGGACTTGAAGTCCTGAGCAATCTCACGAATCTATAGAAAGTGTATTAGTAACTAGGTGCTTCCTTAAGTAAAACAAGCTTACCAGGCGCTGGAAGGGGAGCTTGCGAATCAGAAGCTCGGTGGACTTCTGGTAGCGACGGATCTCACGAAGCTGCAAGAGCTGAGTCAGTGCTTGCCTATAAAAATTGAAACAGGGCAAACTTACCAGACGCTGGAAAGAGAGAGAGAGAGAGAGAGAGAGATAGAGAGAGTGTGTGTGTGTGTGTGTGTGTGTGTGCGCGCGCGCGTGGGTGGGAGAGAGAGAGAGGGGGGGGAGGAGGAGGGAGGGATGGAGAGAGAAAAGTCTGGTGTGGAGGGTAGGGCAAGGTTGGGTCAAGGATTGATGCTGGCCTCCACCTCGCTCCTTCTCTTCAGATTAGGAAGGAAGCCTAGGTCTCTACAAGATGGAAGGAAGGACTTGCCTCTACCAGAGGGAGAAATGACTGGCCTTCCACATATAGACGATCAGTAAGACTACATTTCAACAACAGCCGAGGTGGCTTAGTGGTAGAGCGTGTTCTATCCATCTGCTGCAGGCCCTAGGCCTAACGGCTTAGGGGCTGCAGCAGTGTGAGAGCAAGATCCTAGGTTCGAATCCTGGCCTTGGTATTTTTTTCAGTTCAAAGAATTGTCCTTACAATTTTTTTACTAGTGAATTGGCATACTGGAACATTCCTTGAGATATTTTGATACGCTGGGAGACGAATCCGCCCTTCAAGCGGCAAATTCTCGAGAGAATAGAGAAGGATAAGGATATATAAACTTGAATCTCTCTCACGCCTTCATTTAGATGTTTTGATAAGGCCGGCGACCGATCGTCACTATTGCGAGTGGTGCCCCTTGCCTACCTACCTAACATGTGGGGCGATTGCGTCGGTTGACTCCAGCCTCAGCCTTCTGAAAGGGTCAAGAAGAATCGCTACGAAACCTGGAAGCTGTAGAAAGTACTCGCTCAGTTATTCATACTAATAAGGCAGTTAATACAAATCGTTATCTGCTCCTAGTACTAAACAGCAGACCAAGGTACCAAGTCTGAGTCTTGTAGTTGGATTTGAGTTTGGCAGACGGGGTGTGGTGGAGTATGACGGGTTCCGATTGGCGATGGCCGGCGCGATGTTCCACATCGTTGAGGTCGACCACGCTGAATCGAACCCCGTCTTCCCCAGGAAGGCAGTCGACAACTTATTCCCTCCAGGAGCCATCAGCGATCCCCGTGGCCATGCAGTTTTCTCAGAAGTCCGGTGTCATTTTCATGGTCACTGAGTACGGATTCATCTACGACCTTATCCATGAACTGTATCTCAGCGACACTATCTTTCCCTCCCCTCCCCCCAAAAAGCGTTCATACCGCGCAGGGCGCCTTGCATTTTGATAGTTTTATTTATTTTCAATTCGTGGTCCCCAAAATAGACGGAGCCTTTTCGTGGTCTGGCTCGACGACCCAAGCTTTCCCACGACGGGCCCGTTTGGAGTGAGGGGTTCAGTGATTGGCAGCTGGATGGGTACTTTTTTGCTCTCTCTCCTTCTCTCTTTCCGTCTGCCTCGACGCGGTGAGCGGGCAGGCCTGCCGTCCGTCACCGGGGCCGCTGCTATGGACGCTTTTATGAAACGAACCGCGTTCCGGGCGCGCGACGCCCCTCCGGATGCGAGTGCCGTTGAACCAACGACTTCTGAGAAGCAGGCTGGAACCCGTGGAGCTTCGGTCTCGTATCGCGCGGGGGGGGGATCAGTTTTGGGTTTTTTTGGCGGGCCGGGCCGGCCTATGACTAGCTACCGCTGTCCAAACCCCCTAGTCGCCGTGGACTCGGGCGAGGCAGCTCTTGGACCGGGGGTTGGGAAAATGTTCTCGTGCGAGACGTTTTTGCAACTTGAATTTCCGATATCATTGTCTCGCCCCGTGCCTTTTGGGGTTTGGCCGGGCGGTTGACCGACCCCCGTCTTGGGCCATCAGGGTTCTCCTTGGTTAATTATATACACTTTTCGCTCTCTTCTTCTTTCCTTTCTCCGACGGTCGTCTCAGTAGAGCTCCAGGTTTTCCAGGTTTTCAAGATGTATCAACCCGTTTGGAGCCTGTCACACCGTCAGCCGTCTCAGCCGCCAAGATGGGGGGGGGGGGATACTTACCGGAATATACTGCCTCAGCCGGACACCCGCCTGGGCGAAGACGGCGGCGGTTTCCGTGTCCATGCTGTAGCCGTGGGCGTAGACGACCTCCTCGATGCCGACCTGGCAGATCTTGATGCTGCAGGTGAGGCACGGGCACGTGTCGCAGTAGAGCACGGCGCCGTCGCGGATGCGCTCGCGGCCGGCCTCCAGCAGGGCGTTCTCCTCGGCGTGGATGCACAGGCAGGTGGCCAGGCCGACGCCGGACGAGTTGCCCGAGTTGCAGCGGGCGCAGCCGCCGTCGGAGCAGTTGCGCAGGCCGCGGGGGGTGCCGTTGTAGCCGGTGGAGATGACGCGCTTCTCGCGGCCGACGAGGACGGCGCCGACGCGGCGCTTCATGCAGTTGGAGCGCAGCGAGGCGAGCTCGGCGAGGGACATGAAGTAGGCGTCCCAGCTCGGGCGCAGGCGGACGGGGTCGGCGAGCTGCAGCTTGCCGAGGGTGGCGTAGAGGTGGGCGAGGGAGGACGAGGTGTTGAGGAGGCGGACGGTGGCGCGGGAGATGAGGGGCTGCAGGCCGCCGCGCGGGTCGTAGAGGTGGCGGTCCGAGGCGGCGGCGAAGGACTCGAGGGTGCAGCGCGGGTCGTTGTGCAGCGCGCGGAAGCGGGCGTGGCGGACCGTCAGCGGGGCGTCGACGGAGACGAGCATGAAGAAGGGGCGGCGGGAGAGCACGTCGAGGACGGCCTCGTTGTGCACGTCGGTCGTGACGAAGCGGGACTGCCAGCGGGTCGTGACGTGGTCCAGGAGGGCCTCGGCGGAGGCGAAGGCGAGCTCCGCGGGTGCGGCCGCGCGGAAGCCGTTGGCGTGCGGCTGCTGTGGCGGTGGGTGAGGGTGCGGCGAGGCCCTCTTCGCCAAGACCGAGTGAAAGCCGACGATCATGTTGAAATCGCCGGCCTGCCTCGCCGGATTTTCGGAGGTCTCGTTGCTATTGCTGCTGCCGCTGCCGTTGACAGCGAGGGCGGTCTCCTGGGACGGGAGGGGGCAGTCCCCCTTGAAGTGGCCCTTTTGCTTGCAGTTGAAGCAATAGGGAGCCTTCTTCTTCTTTCCCTTGAAGCCGGCGGAAGATTGCTGCTGCTGCTGGTGGTGGTGGTGGTGGTGGTGAGGAGCATCGGATTCGTCGTTGCCGGCGTTGGACGGGGCGGGTTCCGGCTCCGGAGCATTGTAGGCCGGTGTCTCGTCACGCGGCAGAGTTGACGAGGGATTCTCCAGACGGAGCAGCTTGAAGCCGTGGTGCTCGACCAGGTACTGGGCGACGGTCTTCTTGCCGGCGCAAATGCCTGCGCGGTGTCAGAGAAGCCATTCCCACTATATTGCACAAGGAAGAGGAGGGGGGGGGGGGGGTGTATGAAGCTTGGTTCAACTCGCGGGAGGAGACAAACTCACCGCCGCAAATTCCAATAAGCATCTTGGCCAAAAGCTTGACTTTCCAGATTGGAAAAACTCAGATAAGATGATTGGAGAGCTTGTCTCCTTGTAAGCGTGAGTTGAGGACTGCAGCAATTGCTGGACAGCTTGCTGGCTGCGTATACTACCTACAGGCTTTGCAGGCAGGTCAACCCGGCAACCGGGTTACAATTGACTGATGGCGGAACGGACGGATTTCCTTGCCCTGCACGCGTCTCGTCTCCACGCGTAAATGGGGATGGATGGTTTCCTTTCTGCTTCGGGCCCGATCGGTAGGGCTCGTCCCGCGTCCATCGGACCGAGATCTCCCGATGTTTAGCCGGCGGGACACCTACAGGGAGGGGAGGGCATGACACAACCCCGTGCACCGAGCTCCCCCCACCTTGGGAGTCCAGCTGGGCAGCTGCTCACCTGGAGGGGGGGTGGTGGGGGGAGGGGGAGCTGCTGCACTGCCCTAGGTACCTCCCATTGCCATCTGCCTCATCCTGTCAGGCAAACCGTCTCACGCCCCCCAAGGAAGCTCTCACCAGCCTTGCTCTTGTGACTCGCGAGGCGCGAATCTGCTTTTTGTACAGCTGACTTTTTTGGCTTTTTCTTTTTCTTTCCAACTCGACATTACCAAGCCATCTATCTTCCTGTGGCTAGCGACATCGCCCGGACCCTCCGCTTTGTCCGGAGTCCATCTGGAAGTACGACCTGCCTGTTCCGTGGCATAGTCAGGGTCTTGAACCTTCTTGAGTCATTTCGATCCAGGGCAGCATCTGATTGCAGACCTCTCCTCCTACATACACATTTCCCCTGAACATCTCCGGAATATTGTACCTCTCTCGGCACCACCAACATCGCAGCGCTCCACAGGACCCAACTCTCGGCGCATCGCATCGCATCGCGGGCAGTCCTCTCTTCCATCCCCACTAGGCGCCCGACAGAGCTTGCCCGCCATGGCAGCGATTCAATACGCGCCCTTCTCCTCCGAGATCGAACTCCCCTTCTACGCCGCCCTCTTCTCCTCCAAGCTCGAGCATGACAAGCTTGACGACTCGGCGCGCCGCGTACTCGGCCAGTACACGACCTTGCCGGTCGAGCCCGGCCAGAGCTGCAAGATGTCGATCCTGGGCAACGCCCTCACCAGCGACCAGTAAGGTGCTCGCGGAGGGGCTTGACGTCTGCTTCATATTGACCACGTCAGGACTGATGAGGAGAGCAGGCCTAACGACGAGCATGTCCGCGCCGAGGGCTGGATCAGGAATGTCAACACGATCGAAGACTTCAAGAACACCGACAAGCAAGCCATGCTGAAGCTTGCAGCAAGACACGTAAGGCTGTGCTCGGAACGTTGGTGGAGATGCTGTGGATGTAGCTGACACTTGCTCTCTAGGTCTGGGACGCCATCAACGACGGCACCATCTACTCCGTTCCTTCCCTCCTTTCGTCCTTCACGATCCTCTCGTACGCCGACCTGAAGAAGTACAAGTTCACGTACTGGTTCGCGTTCCCGGCACTGCATTCAGACCCCCAGTGGAAGCGTACAGGCCCCATCGGCCGCCTTGACCCCAAGGAGAGCACGGCGCTGGTCGACCGGGTGGGCACCTGGCAAGCGAACCGCGACAAGAGGCAGAACGGCTTCTTCCTTGCCAAGAAGGCCCGAGGCGTCGACGTCAGCGATTTGGATAAGGATGCAAACAGCGACCTCCACGACCTCAACGACGCTTTCGGGTACGTGTGGGAGGTTGCCAACCTCGGCGACTTTGAGAACGGTTTCTTTGACGATGTTGCCGAGGAGGACCGCTACGTCGCGTTCGTCGACCCGTCCACGTACCCCGAAAACCCGTCATGGCCTCTGCGCAACCTCTTGTGGCTTATCCGGCAGCGGTTCCGCCTGACAAAGGTGCAGATTCTGTGCTACCGGGACATCAGATCAAGCAGGCATGCTGCCAGAAGCATCGTTTTGCCTCTGGAGATGGACCCCGTAGAGCCTCTCGCGGTCACGGAGATGCCAAAGGTTACTGGCTGGGAGCGAGATGGAGAAGGTAAGCTTCGAGCCA